CCAGAATTACAACGGATATCCGTTGGAAATTTCCAACGGACTCCCGTTGTAATGGTTGAAACATTGAATCCGTATTGCATGTTCTAACGGATGCCCGTTAGAATCGCCATTTCCAACGGGCATCCATTGAAAATTCTGAAGCATTAAATCCGTTCGACGTCCCCATTCTTCCCCATCACCCATTTCTCAAATCTACAAAAAAAACGGAGCAAAAAAAAACACTCGACAAAAAAAAATGCAAAATGGTAATATGTTTTCAATTCTTTAATATTTATTTATGTTCTATTTTGTTGTAAGCACGGTAACTCAAAGACTTATCCAACTCTCGCAAAATGTTGGCGATTCAGCGGGTTCTTCATCCGGTCTCTCTGCATCGGACCAAGATCGTTACTATGTGGAGGTAAAAGTTATAATAATTCATTTTTAAATATTATATTTTAATACTTTATTTCAATTTTAAATATTTTCTTCATTTTTTAGTCGGTCTTTCCAAATAAGGGTCGTATCTATGGATTAGGAGGATTGCAGCGAGAATTGTTCGATGATTTCGGTGCAGCAATTCCTTCTGGCATGCAGAGCGATCTCGAACAACAACAGCGGATCGAGACACTTGAGCAATAGCTTGCGACGACGAGGCAACAAGTGACTAACCTCGAACAAATCGTTGAGCTTTTTTTTGTGTTTTCTAACGGGTTTTCCAACGGCTATCCGTTGGAATGAATTTTCAATTCCAACGGACTGCCGTTGTAAATACCGTTGTAACATTTCGACGGCGTTTCCAACGGATATTCCAACGGATTTCCGTGGCAAATACTGTTGTAAATCCGTTGGAATATTTCTAACGGATATTCTAACGGTCCCGTCGGAAAGTAGCCACGGATATCCGTTGGAATTTCCGTTGATATATTCTGATGAACAAATCCGTTGGAATTCCGTTGAAAATATACCACGGAAGAACCGTTGGAAATCCGTTGAAATATTCCAACGGATGTCGGCGTTGGAATTTCGTTTGGAATTTGCCACGGAATTCCAACGGAACCGCGTTTTCTAACGACTGTTTTCCAACGGAAATATCCATTGGAAATCCGTTGGAAAAGTCGAATTCCAACGGATTTTCGGCCTTTCCAACGGATTTGCTGGTTGGAATTTGGGATTTTTTTTTGTAGTGGAAAGGGATTCGAGGGATGCATAGGTATATGACTACACAGTTAAAGATAACTTAAACGAATTAATTGAGCTACTCATAGCAATAAGATGCATATACATTTTTGGTTAGCCATCTCGAGAGAACTCCAAAGTTAAGCGTACTCGCTTTGGAATAGTCTTAGGATGGGTGACCTCCTAGGAAGTATTTTTCAGGATGTGTGCGAGTGGGAACAAAACACGCTAAAAGGTCTCATGTTGGTATGTGATAACGCAAATCTAGGTATAAAAATAATGCTCAAGTGATAAAAACCTAGATACAGCGAATATCGCAAGGATACGGATCAACTATAGTACTAGGGTCGAACACAGGGAATAATTAACACTAAGAACAAGATTCGACTAAGATTCAGATCAACAAATATCAGATAAAATAGATGAATACCGAAAATAAAACAATAAATAAACTAAGTAAATCAGATAACTAAACCACCGTAGCTTCGGGATAACCTTAGCGCGCAGGGATTGTTTCTAAGGATGGAGAATCTACGAATATCGAACTCTAATCGGGGATCTCAAGTTCTAATATCAGATTTGGCTCTCTCAAGTCCTAAATCCACTATCCAATAATTTAACCTATCGATCTCTCAACCTAATAGATTAAAATATCAAATGCATTAACGATCACCATCACAGTTCCTAAACCGATTAACCTATCTCTCAATAGTCTTAATCAATTTATTCAATGAATTCGTTCCGAATCTAATCTCAACTCTCGTTGCAAATCAGAATCTAAAATCAATCAATCAACTGGCCAAGAAGATCAAAAGCAATAAACTCAATTCAATTAAACCGCCGAGTATCGATAACGTAATCTCGGAAAATAAAAACCAAACAAATCCCTATAAGGTTAAATCCCTAGCTACAGTGAAACGACTACTCACTACCCATAAGAACAAACGAGTTCAAATCAATAAAGAGAAACATGGAAACAGATAGAGAAAAAACTCGCAGCGATCTCTCGACGACGATTCTTCAATCTCTGCTCCCGGGAAACTCCGTCTTGATTCTCTCTCGAGTTCTCTGGCTTCTGCTGTGATATCTCGATGATTTCTGAAGTCTAAGACATCCTCTTTTTATTGGCTTGGCGGCTCGGTTTCTTCCTTTGCTGAAAACGAAAGTACGGATGCAAAATAGGAAGTTTTTCCGTAATTTAACACGCCATGTCGAATGCAACACGGTCGTGTTAATTCTCTGTTAAAAATATGCACTTTAGACATGGACTGAACACGGGCGAGTTTGAATCAACACGGCCGTGTCAAATGACAACACGGTCCGTGTCAATTCTCTGAGCAAAACTTCACTTTTTTCAGCACAGACACAACACGGCCGTGTAGAATGCAACACGGTCCGTGTCGATTCTTCAACTCGAACATGCTTGACAGATTTGCTCATAACTTTCTGCTCCAATGTCGGATTTATGCGAGTGTCTATGCGAAGATATTGAAGAGAGCTTTCCAATGAGGTAGAGAACGCACAATTTGGACTTATAGAGTGGAAGTTATTTGACTTGCAAGATCTAACCTTTTAGGCTTCGTGTTTTTCCTCGGAACAACTCCAAATGTTCCCGTTTCGTTTGTGATGTTCCGTAGTCCATGTTTTCCTTTCCTTTTGCTCTCTTTTATGCATGAATACCTGTTTTGACACCAAAGAAAGCAACCAAGCAATATCGAGACCAAATGTGCTCTAGAATGCCTATAAATATGCAAAACCGAGTAAAATGCACTAGACATCCTATATCAAAATGTCACCAAAATACATGTTATCAAACTCCCCCAGACTTAAACCTTTGCTCGTCTCGAGCAAATACTCCGTGAAAAGCAGTCTGAAAAAAGGGCGAGACAATGACATAACTCAAAATGATAATCGAGAGCGAAACCTCTATCCGACCTAGATCCCCGTGAACAATGATCAAGTCTATCTAATATGATCTCCCTCTCTAAAGGATAGTCTTTCCTAGTTATGGGATCTATACGCTACCAAGAACCAATCCAAGAACTTCAATCATCTACCAAGCATGTTTCTCGAACCTATCACGCCATTCTACTTAATCGTATCTAGTCTACGCTTTGGGTATTCATTTTTTTCTTCTTCTCTTTTTTTTTCTTTCATCTAGCTAGATTTTTTTTCTTTTGCTAGCATCTCGGGTTCCTAGGACGTTGAAGTTGAAGGGCTCATAATCGCTCTTTTTGTCGATTTTATTCATTGGATGACCCGACCCACAACTTAGACCCGAACCATCTAATCGATGCACTCATGTCCTCGAACAATTTTCGTTGACGAGATAATGACAGCATAGTGTAGAGATGCTCACTATCTTTTTCTACACATAAAGAAATAAAAATGCATTTGATAATAGACTTTACCGATTTCAGCAAACATGGGAAATGTTCTTATAGAAACGTTTCTCTTGGCTAGACAACATCGGTCCCATGGGTTCCAACCAATAATTTCTATCTCACAAACCATTCTAGAAAATCCTAAAGGTCAAGCAATCAATTCAACAAAACATAACCACGTTCAACGGATCACAATGTTTTCAAGACGTTTCTACTCTCTCATGCCATAGATCATCACATCAATATTCAAAATGGTTTTATGCACGTGATCTTATATGTCCTAAATACTATATGTAAATGCATAATGTAATACCCCGAAACCCGATTCGAATATTTAATTATTTAAAAATGAATAATTAAATAGAGATATCACGTAATCACCAAAAACTGATGGTAAAATGCCGGGGAGAGGCACGAGGATCGTCACGGGTGGAAACGACCGAGAAAGAATGAAGAAAAAGAAAAAAGAAAAAAAACAGGGTTGGTCCGCCGGACCAAGCTCATAACTTTCTACTCCAATATCGGATTTGTACGATCTTGGTGTCTATGCGTAGATATTGAAGAGAGCTTTCCAATGAGTAAAGACTGCACAATTTAGACTTATAGAGTGGAAGTTATTGGACTTGAAAAATCTAACTTTTTAGGCTTCGTGTTTTTCTCCGGAACAACTCCAAATGTTCCCGTTTCGTTTGTGATGTTCCGTAGTCCATGTTCTCCACTCCTTTTGCTCTCTTTTATGCATGAATACCTGTTTTGACACCAGAGAAAGCAACCAAGCAATATCGAGACCAAATGTGTTCTAGAATGCCTATAAATATGCAAAACCGAGTAAAATGCACTAGACATCCTATATCAAAATGTCACCAAAATACATGTTATCAGTATGTGGGGACAGTTCTATCATTCCGTAGCGGCCTCGGGTCGTTAAAATGGTATCAGAGCCGGTACACTCCCAGTACAGTGTAGTTCGAGGATGAACCAAGCGGAAGCTGGTGGGTCTGTGACAGACTAGGATACCGTAGGAGGGCGGGGAGTGATCGCTGGTGCGAGAGGCATGGACAAGGAGCAGTTCCTAACGAGCTTCTGGTAGGGGGTACAGGGATGAATCGAACGCACCGGAATGAGAGGGACCCGAGAGTTGTGTAGGTATGGGACTACACAGTCAAAGATAACTTAAAGGAATTAATTGAACTACTCATAGCAATAAGATGTATCTACCTTTTCGGTTAGCCATCTCGAGGGAACTCCAAGATAAGCGTGCTCGCTTTGGAGTAGTCTTAGGATGGGTGATCTCCTGGGAAATATTTTCCGGGATGTGTGCTAGTAACGACACAACACGGTTAAAGGTTCCATGTTGGTGTGTGGAGACAACTCTATCATTCCGTAGCGGCATCGGGTCGTTACATGAAGTGTGATTGATGATCATGGTAATGATCATATGCATTGGATGCAAATCACAATCATGGGGAGTTTCTCCGAGTCCCTGACCTCTGTAATAAACTCCCCCATCTCATCATCTTCGTCATTATCCGTGACCTGATCTGCTGTGATAACAATGTCACCAGGAAGATGAGGGATCACAAAAGGCTCAGAGCTCGAAGCGACATTCTTCTGTGGCTTATGGAGCCTGATGCAATACGAAACGCATAGAGAGAAGTAGCACGTGCCGTGGAACACAAGTCTCGGCACTCCAAACTTCTTGGAAGCTTCCGTGGCCCAGGGGAAGAACATGTCGGCGACCAGACAGTCCGGTCTGAATGTTTCGATGAGATCCTCCAACTGGTTTTTGAGAAACTTGGTCGAGAAGAAAAGCTTCTGAACGATAGGGAATATGTCCTCGATGACGGCAGAGTCGAGGAAATCGGCGTTATCGGATCCTTGGGGTAATCCGAGCTCCGTGCAAGGAAAATCCAGGACCCGGATACCGATTTCTGCATTAGGGTTCTTGTTCTTGAAAACTTCGACAGGTTTCTGAAAGATTGGAACGTTGGGATGGGTAATGAGGATCGTCGATTTGATTCCTCTGCTTGCGAAAAGCTTCGCCATGTCCAGAGTCGGAATCATGTGGCCATACGCCATGAAGGGGAAGAAGAAAACATGGAGCTGACGAGGAGCTTCACTTTCACTCGCCATGTACGTTTGGTTAGCCGAGAAAATAAAAACTGGGTTTTGCAGATTGAAGACGAAACTCTTAAGAAAAATGGAAACTTTTTTTTTCCCGGATTGTTGTTTGGCGGCCGAGAAAATGAGAGCGAAAAAAAAAAATCGAAACTTTCTCTCAGCTACTGTTTGATTGATGACTGCGGAGAGTGAATTATTTGGGTATTGCCGTTTTGGTCTTTGGTGTGGAAAAAGTGAAATGAAATCATATGTTGTTGGAGAGTTGATTCTTTTACGTATCGGTAGGCAATGGCATCATCCTTGATTTTGTTTGGGTCGGGAAATAAATTTCGAAATAAAGTTTTTTTTTTTTGGTAAAGGTTAATCCGGTTAATAAAGTTTCACTCTGTTGACAATAAAATTTAAAAAAAAAAAGTTTTTTCAATACGACAATATTATTAGAATGTTATTATATATTTTAATAATATTCAAAGTCTACCATAAAAATCCAGACTTTTGGAAGCAAACTCCAATTTGATAACTATATATGACAAGTTCACTTATTGGGATGAAAGTTTGAAACATTGAGGTGAATTTATGAAGCTAACCGATATATAGATTAGAGACTATAAATCTATATATATTAATAAAGAAGTTTAAAGAGATTTGGTGAAGCCACCTAAGCATCCTATGTGGAAGTTTCTTAAATTTTGATTGGTTATAAATAAATTATGATAGAATTAAATGAGTAACTTTTAAAATATAAAATGATTAGTCTAAAATAAAATTTTAAAAATTAAAGAAAAACTTTTAAAAATAATGAAGTGATGAAGCCAATAAGTGATGAACCAAAATAAATATGTATTGTTATATTATACTAGATTTATTCATTTATAAAATAACAATAGATAAGTTTGAAAATATAATTATGAAAAAAACTTTTATAAACTTGCAATTTGAAAACAATTATATTTGAAAAAAAGACTTGATTACAAATTAAATTCTAAAACTATAAAATTTGTTAAGTATATTACTAAATTTTATTGTTATTTAATTAAAAAGTTTTTATAAGACTATATGTGAATAGTTTTATATAAAGATATGAGTAAATACAATAATGTAACGGAGGGGTTCCGTTTCGGTGTTTCCCATCATTATCCACTAAGACTAATATTAATTAAAAAAAATATCATGCAAAACTGATATTTATCAATTAACAACAGGAATAACCTAGATTCGAGTTAAAATCTGTAAAACAAAAAATGCTTGTAATCACTTTCGAATTTGAGTTTTTCCTCTACGAATGCTCGAATAAATTATTAAAATACCATTAAATTGATAATTATTTATGAAACTAACATTGAGTTATTTACGGTGATGCAATTGTTCAAAGATTTTAAATCCTAGTTGAGCTCACATTCCAGTTATTATGAATCCATCTCTCCGATCGGATAACGAACCATATCATTCTAAGATCTCGAAAGATATAATTGCCCTTCTCCTAGCACGAGGCGACGACGATGACTCGAGCTTTTCCGTCGTCCTCATTGTGGCATTTAAGCTTAGATAACCACATTTCAATGGCCCTTGGATCCCATTCGGTCTACCATCAATGGTCGAAAACACTATTCTCAACTTGAGATTTTCAATGTGGCATTTAAGGTTAGATATTTGGCCTCTTTTCAATGTCCCTTAGGATCCATTCTTGCCAAAAAATACTATGCCCAACTTGAGGCCTTCGTAATTCATTGTTCGGTAAGAACGAACACACATCGGATATCCGAAGTTTTTTGGGTTACCAAACTCAACCTAAATGCCTATGGTCTCAGAAGATATTACCCGACCTCAAAGATTTTGGTTAGATACCCAAAAATTGTGTAATAACAAAACTTTGATTTTTTTTTTTCAAAATATGTATAATTGAATAGCCAAAATTTTCGAATTAACCGAATCTAAACTCGAAATTTTTGGGGATTTCAATTTACAATTCTAAATTTGTATTTTAAACTTAGGGATAAAAAGGTAATTTTACTTTCCTTCGAGTACCTGCAAATAAGACCCACCTAAGATACAGTCCTAAACTTGCAATTTGACCTTATAAATACTTCTCGCAGCTTGTATCGCCACTCTCGTGTCGGCCATTTTGACAAAGAAAAAAAATTCCCAAACCGGAACTCTTGTTTCTACGCTATCTCCATTCCTCTATTATCCTTATGTACACACGACAAGAGGCAACTTATAGATTCAGAGGATCAACTTCTGATAATGTCCCTCTTCTCTCTCTCTCTACATATATATATATATATCATTCCTGGTCATTATTACCTTTGAGGATGTTGTACTTGCAAAGCGGGCATGTGGCGTTCATTTTGAGCCACTTCACGATACACGTTGAGTGGAAGTGGTGGTTGCAAGGGAGGGTGATGAGCTCAACCCCGTCTTCATACGAGCTCAGACATATACAGCATTCCTGAAAGGATAAATATATATATATATTAAGACAAGATAATATCAAAACTAGATCAGTTGGCAGTGACAAGAGCTAAACTTACTGCATCCTCAGGCAAAAGCACGCGTTCGTTTGATAAATATCCACTGCCCGTGTCAAGAGGCACCATTTTCCCGCCGCTGGCACTGGGCTTTTCGTCATCGTTCTGCATCAAAAACCTGTACTTGGGTAGGATGCTGAGATCTGCTTCCGATGCACCTTCCTGTATTATCATACGGTTTAAAACAAAACAAAAACACAAATAATGCTTCTCCTAGAGAAATTCGTATTTTGTAATAGACGTTTGTGTTTAGCTGATACCTGCCCAACAACGGCATAAAGGAGTGCGATAATACATGGGAGGCAGCAACATAGGGCAATTCCAATGAGACATGCCAGTGCAACACAAAAGATGGCGAAGAACACGTCAAATGCCAGGAAAACGACGGCCAACCTGCATGCCGTTAGCCATTTCGGGTACACCGGGAAAAGAGAAAAGAGAAAAAGAGTGAGCATTAGCACTGATATCAGATAAGCAGGGTATTCAGCAAAGAGAATCTGCAAAAGCATTGACAAGATTAACCCGTTACCAGTATAAACGAGGAGCACTTTGCAGAAGAATATCGCCACCAGATACAACCCAGTAGAAGCCAACAATCCACCAGACGAATGATACCATGGTATTCAGTGATTCACATCTCTTGGTCATGCTGAGAAATTTATCATCAAATCATTAGAAAACAAAACAATGTCATAACTGACCGAGGGAAACTGAAGAAGAAAGCAACACAAATAGATAGAAGGAGTACAATCATCTAGATTGCGCCATTAAGTTTGGACTCCATACATTTCAATCATGACTGCGGTAAGTAATCAACTTTGATAACCGGGTGAATATTCGGGTATCGACCTTCTTCATACTTTGCCAGTAAAATGTAGTTTTAAGAGATTATACAAACAACAAGAGGATGAGATTGCGATGAAGATGTTAATTATAGGATAAAAGCTGGATGGATGAAATGGAGACAAACTATGGGGGTTATTTGCGATCGTAAGATTCTCAATCGGTTGAAAGAAAAATTCTACCGTACCGCCATAAGACCCGTATTGATGGATGATAGCGAATGTTGGCGAAGAAAAGACAACATCGTGTCCAAAATGAGTATAGCCGAGATGAGGATGTTGCGACGGATGTACGGACACAGAAGAATGGATAGAATTAGAAATGAGAGTATTACAGATAAAATAGGAATAATTGGTATAGAAGAAAAGTTATGAGAGGAACGTTTAATATAGTTGGACATGTACAACATAGACCAATAGATGTTCCGGTTAGAAAAGTGGAGAACATAGAAATGAGATGGAAAGAAAAAGAGAGGGGTAGACCTAGACTTATTTGGGAACGAGTCATTAAAATGACTTGAAATTGTTGTAAATTTCAGAAGCTGTAACTTCAAACAACAATGTGTGAAAACGAAGAATTCACGCGGTCGACCCCAAATAAACTTGGGATTAAGGCAATATTGATGCTCGTTGTCGTTGGGGCCGACTGACCGGATGACCCGCATGAGATTGTCACATGGACACTAGTCATGACTTGAATCTCATGTAGCGGTTCGTTCTTAGATCTTCAGACCTGATATGTCTAGAGTATTTGATATGAGGAGTGTCGTGTCTTGACTGCATCAAACGTTGTCTTTAACCGGATGATTATAATGGCGTTGCTCAGATACGTTCACAAATCATATACAGATAGTATACATGCAATATGAGACTTGTCACCTCCTCAACGGGAGAGATATCAGTGGGTTCCTCGTGGAAATCAGATTGTGAAATCGCGTAATCATACTATAGATGAAGTTGCATCTATTCATCAGTCGATTTTCTAAGACGAGAAAGCGGTTGAACTTGAAGGGTGGCTGGCTCCATACCCTTGTTCAACACATGATATCGCGAGACAAAGGATCAGAACTCGAGTTGTTTGTCTTGGTTAGATCACCTCTAACTCAATTCAAGGTGGATGGTCATGGTATCTTGCTAGAGGCTTACCAGATAGTTCGAGAAAGTTCTCCGAAGCCATTGCCACTGCGAATAGGCCCACAGGATCACACACCATTAGAGATGGGCTATATGTGGGAAGAGGAATGCGAGAAAGGATAACGGGATGACAGAACGAGCGTCGAAAGCTGGAAACGTTCCAGACAGACAGACTGACCGGTCCAATACTTAGACCGGTCGATTCATCCTTTCTGTGGCTCAAGACCAATCAGCCCAACTTGAGAGTCCATATCGACCGGTCCAGAATCTAGACCGGTCGGTCCAGGTCTCGGGAAAACTTCCTTTTCACGTTTTAGGGTTTTGACAACTCTATTTAACATGGGAGCCGCCCCAAACCCTAGGTATTCGAAGATCAGACATCCAAGACACTTCTAAGAGCAAAAGAGAAGAGTTCTCTTGAGTTCTAAACCCCAGAATAGCGATTCCATATCCTGGACATCGATCTGTCTTCATAAAATCCTAGCAGATTCGTTCTAAACCGTTTGGAATCCTTTCCACCAGTGTGGATACATGTAAAGGAGTTGTACCTTCAACTCTTGGTGATTAATAGAGGCCCTAGATCGATTGATACTTTTATTTTGAGTTTATTTGTTTAGAAAATACACGTTATTTTGGGTTTATACGTTTGGTTTGTATGACGTTTGACTAGGGTTAGATATATTCTTCTGCTGCGTAAAACCTAGAAACTAAACTTTAAATCGATGTGATCGCATGTTAGGAACCTATAATGAATCCCAACAAGATATGTATTATATTTTTAATTATTTTCTATTTTTATTGTTATTATTATTTTTTTAGTTTTTATTTTTTATTAATTTTTAAATATTTTATTAGTAATGACGTGATATATTAATCTTATATGTGCAGGATTTGACAAATTTGTTAATGTCATGTCATCACTTCATCATTATTGTTATAAAATGAGGATATATTGGTTAATAATTTGAAAGTAGGATAATTTATAGGTTAAATAGAATTAGTTTAGAGTTTATTTGTTTAGAAAATAGTATTGCATTTAATCGTTGACATGAGAAAGGTAAAAGTTTTTTAAGACAGTTCTTCCATAATAAAATTTAAGGTTGTTTTGAACAATCCTAATTTTATTGTCCGAATGTTGTCGTAGGAACGATAATGAATTAAAATTAGCATAAAGTATGATGGATGATCATGCTTATTCATATCAAGATCATAGATAATTTTTTGAGACAAGAGATTGGATGATCCGCGTGAGATTTGTATGTTGTGATGCTCTTGGATATCGATGATATAACATTTAGACTTTATATTGATTCATTGATTTATTAATACATTACATTTTCGATATATAGGATTGTTCTTATCTATTCTTTGCCCAATTCTCGTTCTGCACATCCCGTGATATTCGATTTGGTTTGATTAAGCTCCGCAAATGCCATTTTTGTTTCTTTTTCGTTCAATTGCGCTAAAATTGCTAAATTTTCATCAAAAAATAAAGAAAACGATATTGTTGTCTATAATATCATATAAAACCTAATTTTTACATAATGTAGGGCAAATGCATTTAAAACTATAAAAAAAATATCATGCAAAAACTGATATTTATCAATTAACAACAGGAATAACCTAGATTCGAGTTAAAATCTGTAAAACAAAAAATGCTTGTAATCACTTTCGAATTTGAGTTTTTCCTCTACGAATGCTCGAATAAATTATTAAAATACCATTAAATTGATAATTATTTATGAAACTAACATTGAGTTATTTACGGTGATGCAATTGTTCAAAGATTTTAAATCCTAGTTGAGAAGGACGCTGCCAGAGGGAGTTCCAGCAGCAACAGCAGCTCAGGGCTTGCCAACAATGGATCCGCCGACGTGCCCAACGCGGCGGTGGCTCGGCCGATGATGACATCGAGCTCGTGACTGAAGACGACGACGTGAACCAGAGGACGCCAGCCCTCCGACAGTGCTGCAACGAGCTGCGTCAAGTTGACCGCATGTGCGTGTGCCCAGTGATAAGGCACGCGGCTCAACAGGTGAGGTACCAGGGACAGCACCAGCCACAGCAGGTGAGACAGATGTTCCAAGCTGCTAGGAACTTGCCCAACATCTGCAACATCCCTGTCGGACAATGCCAGTTCCAGGCTACCCCTTACTAAACCTGAAACCGGCACGTACGTGCATGCATGCATGTTTCAAGGGTTTTGAATTCGGCGTGGAGTTGAGTCGTCACACCTAATCGTGTGAGTGGGTGCATGTATGCTGAGGTTAGAAGCAAAATAATGTAACTTGCACTCATCCTTAATAAAACGTTTTAACGTCTTCTCTACTTTCTAATCCCATTACGAATTAATTATGCATTCAGTATAACAAAATTTATTTTCGAAAGTGGACATATATACGACTTGATGTTTGCTCCACATATATTGTTCAAGTGAACAATTAATATAGTTAAGTTCGTTTGACAATTATATTTCATAGATAATCATAATTTATATATATGAATATCTAATATAGTTTATAAGAAATTATAGTTTATTATTTTAATATTTTTTTATTATAAAATGATTAATTTTCTGTTTTTGCATCTTTACTGATTTTAATGGTGATATGCGTGATACAAAGCAGAAGCCGTTATATGATTATTAATCTGTAATCAAGTAATTAATAAGAGAGAATCTCCTCCTAGTATTTGTTGGAGCAATCTTTTGGCTACTTGTGTCTTTGGAGTTAAAAAAACGGAAAATGTGAATCTTCTTTTATCTTCATTAATCTGACGTGGCAAGACGTTTTTTTTTAATATCTTTGGACTACTTTTGTTTCTATTTATTATAAAAAGAAATAAATCAAATTAAGACAAATCGTGCCAACAAAATCATATGAGAATCTTTAGAACATTTCAAAGAGAGTACGTACAAGAGAGACACTGAAAATTGAAAGGGCAACACGCCAAGCACGTCGGGCACATGCAATGAGAGAGTGCCAAACCACGAATGATGCAGGTTGTAATAAAACTATATATCGAATTATAAAAATAAAAAAGAATAGTATATAAAGAGATGCAAAAGCAAATCAAGAAATCAAGAAAAGAAAGAGAATGAGAATGGGAACGCCAACAATGGCTCTCATGGCATACGCGTTGGTGTTTAGCGCGGTGGCAGTGGCTGTGGCCTCTTATGAACCGTACGTCTACGCTTCTCCACCGCCACCAACAACAACATACTCGTCTCCATCTCACAAAAACCAATCTCCTTACTACTACAAATCACCACCGTCTCCTCTAAAATACAGAAGAGACGGTCCTAAATACAAGCCTCATCCTAAACAATACGTTTACAAATCTCCACCACCTCCTCATATATATATATATATATTATATATGTGTGTGTATATATTACACACACTAAGTGCCGTATTTCTCACGACGAATGTGATTGCAGATAAATATTATACTTAATTTATATATGTCTTGTCTCTTTATTCAAATATGAATGGAGTGCTCATGAACTATTTTCGAGTTTTCACTTCTAACTATACAATAAGTAATTAAATTATTTCATTTGTAATTGAATTGTGTCATTAAATTCGGTCGTAGTTAAATAGAAAAAGTCGAAAGTGATAGAAAGATTCTCTAGTCAGCGTCTCACATGACATGTACCTATTTTTTTTTTGTAGGTTTCCATACCGTCGTGACTGATGAACTCCCTATAAATTAGTTTCATTTTAACTATAATAATATAATATAATTTATTTATATGAATTATTTGCCTTGTTTTATCCATATAAAACCATTTTTTTTAGATAATATCATATAAAATTTAGTTTCAACTTATTTATGGAAAGGATAATCTTTAATCAATATATTAAAAATGGAAATAAAAATATTAAATTCTCAATTTGAAAATTAATAGTTTTTAAAAGGTTAGTTATTTTATTAATTTTAAAAGTTATATAGAAATGTAGATGACATACGGTGCGCGGGTGTTGGGCTTATAAATATAAAATGGGTCGGAAAAGATCGATATGGGCCGTTATCAAACTGGGCCGAAACAAAGTCGGTTGATGTTGTCATTGCAAAGAAAATACTTTCTAAAATAAATAAATAATGACGTCACCCAGCATTTACCGAGGCGGGAAAATCATCCAAATAACCACTTGAGTCGCATCTATTTCAGTGTACCCCACGAAAAAAAAAAAAAAAAATTTCAATTTTAACCCACTTTTCGATTGAAAAAGTCCGAAATACAACCTCAGAAAAGTTTTAACTAAGAAAAAGCACTTAATGTTTGCAACAGAGATGGAATCATATTCAACTGGTTTAGGAAGCAAATCGAAGCCATGCACAAAATTTTTGTGAAAACGAAGAATTCACGCGGTCGACCCCAAATAAACTTGGGATTAAGGCAATATTGATGTCGAGAAAGGCATACGAGTATTCTGACAATACCCACACATCACGTTTTGGAGATTTTTTTAGGAAGAATCAAAGTTTAAAAAACAAACATCACCCATTCATCTCTAGGTGATAGGTAGACTAATAGCAACGTGGTTAAGACAATAGGAAGCAAGAATGCAGACACATATCCCGGTCAATACATAATCTCGAGTCGAACTGACTTCAAGAAAACTAGCAAAGAGCAACTCTAGCAACAACATGAACCACCAAACACAAGACTCATTCAAGGAAGTAAAAACACACAAAAAGAGCCTGCTGCAAAAAGAAACAAACAAACAAAAAGATCATGACTATTTCATTTCTAGTTTAACCAAATCCTTTGAGCCCAAAAAAAAGAATCTCATTCTTGGAAGGAAAAACAGAACCTTTTCTGGCCACTCCACCTATTACTACTACTACTACTAATCAGCCCTAACTTCAAAAAAAGTTGTCAAAAAACAAATCGAATTGCTAAACAAAAATGCAAAACTAGTCCTCGGAAGCTACATTTGAGATAGTGGCATCCTACGATTCCAATTTCCAAGAAACAATCAAATTGCTAAACAAAACTTGTTCCAATCAAGCTATGCAATGATAAAAGAGAGGTTCACAAACAGGAACTAACCTAATGTTCCTCTCACCACCATCCTCAACCTCATCCTCACTGTCGTTGACATGCTCATTGACAGGAGCTTCACCAGCCTCCAAATCCCCAGCTCTCCGGCCCACACTCCTCTTCCTAAACTCCATGAACACCAGAACCACATGAACCAAACACTGAAGCGCGTATCCGCAGATCCAAAGCCTGATCGGCGTGTTCGGCCTCTCCTCCTTCGAACAGAACATCATCACCACCGCGATAATAACAAAAGCCGTGTTCCAGAGCATGTCCAGAGCCACCACCGGCTTCGAGTACCCCCAATCGGCCCGCCGCTCCTCTAGCTCACGCGCCGCCGTTTCCCTCACCAGCATCGAAGCCCCTCGCCTACCCGTCGCTCGCCCTAACAGCACTCCCAAAATCTCCGGCCGGCGAGATGCAGCCCCTCCGCCGCCGCGGCGCGGGCGGAGGAGCGGCACGTTGGAATCGGACACGGTCCCGGATTCAGACGAAGACATCGTCAATTTCTCTCCTTCCAAGGAAGCCGATACTCGACAACAATCTAGGGTTTTCTCGATCCACACGCACACACAAAGGACAAATTTGCAGAGGCACTTACGTTCTTCTCCGTTTTTTTTTTTTTTTGGGTAGTGTAATACAATAAAAGCTTCGCGGACTACATAACTTTATTAGATAATATAAATTATAAACCCATTCGGACCATATCCGGTAGTGCTTAACACTGGTTTGTCCGACACTTTTTTATGGGGATGGCGAAACAAATCAACCGAATAGAAAAATAAAATATTTTTTTTTTAAAATAAATTTTTTTTTTTATTTTAATTCAAAATTTTCAAATAGTATTAATTTTAGAAAAAACGAAATTTTTAGAAACGAACCGAATCGAATCGAAATTTTAAAAAACTGAAATCCGAATTTTTTAAAAAAAATCTAAATTTTTTAATAAAAATAGAAACAAAACTGAACCGAAACGCAATCGATTCGAGTATAATATAATTATCGATTGGTAATTATTGGATAATAAACTAAAGCTAATGGGAAAGAATCACTTTTGTTGAGTTGTACCGTGCGTCTTTATCATCATGGGCCCAACAAGCATAACAATGTCCCAATTAGGCCATATTGGGCCTTTTTCAATGGCCGAGATCTCTCGATCACTAATGTGAATCCACCCGGGGAGTACGTTCGACACAAGACGAGTCGCATCCCCTGATAAGCGCGCGTCAACCTTTATGCGTATTTTAGCAGTAGTCCTCCTCTCTTCACAAAATGCGCCTGGTTCCACTGTTTCTGGTAAACCATTTGGGGCAGATTTTGTGTTGCCAAGATTTTCAAACACGTCGAATTTGTTGAGTAATATGAATGTGATTTCTGATACACAAGTGAGTATACACTCATGTGTGTGTATATATATATATATCGGAGGAGACATGATGACATAAGCATTGACATAAGCAACGAATATTTTCAGGGTCCATGAGAAGAAATACTTGATGGCTTTATTTTAATGTAACAAAGATGACAAGAATCATCCTTAAAACTAGAAATGTATATATATTGATTGTATAGAAAAAGAACGAGGCAGAAAGCAGCTCCTCTACATGACTGTCTCAGCCTCCTTTCTCTCTACAAGTTTGATGAAGTTGCGAACAATGGTCTTGCCTTCGGTTGTTATGATACTCTCCGGATGGAACTGAACTCCCTGTCATAACACCACAGACCACATGTTTTCAAGAAACAAACGAAAAAACTCGGGGAAAAAAATGCTGTCTTTTCGCCCCGGGGGATGTAAATAACATACCTGAATATGCTTGTACTTCTTGTGACGGGCTGCCATAACCAACCCATCCTCTGTCTCCGCTGTAATTTCGAGCTCTTCGTGAGGAAACGAGTCCTTCTCTATCACAAGGCTGTGATATCTTCCTACAAGGAAAGGGCTGGAAAGAGAACAGAGAAAAAATGTTTCAACTTGGCTGCAAATTCTAGTGGAGAAGTGATTTTCACTGTGGCCATAGATGGCGAAAAATATGATATGTGGGTTTGTTAAAATACAATAGAAGTCGAATAAGAACAGAAAGAAAACTGCATACTTTGATAATCCAGAGAACAATCCATCTTCCCCTTTCTCATCATGATAAACCATTGAACTTTTCCCGTGCATTACACCAAATGGGGATCTCACGATCTTCCCTGCAAAAGTCAAGTTTACCACAAAAGTTGTGTAACAATCTCCAAGCCCGTCTTGCTCAAGAGCTATACAAAAGGTCCAGAGCTGGAAGCAAGTAAGGATCTTTGTAGTCATGCTAACCTCCAAATGCCTCTCCGATACACTGCAAACCCATGCATACACCAAATAATGGAACAATTGGTCCGAGTTCCAAAACAGTTTGCAAAGAAATCCCGGAATCTTGCGGTGTGCCTATGCATACACATGTGCATTGTATACCAATTAGTCTCAATGCTATGATTATATTATGTGCTATTACGGCCGGAAAACACAACAAAACGGATTACAAAGATTGAATCTTTACCAGGTCCAGGAGAAATTAGCACCCCTCTCGGATTTTTGCTGGCGAATAGATAATCAAAATAATCAACACCACATTTCACAAGATTATGTCAAAACGATCAGGGCAGTATGTAAACAGTAAACACTTTCTTACCTTTTCAACTCCTCAACTGTAAGCTCGTCATTTCGGTAAACTTCAAAATGGCATCCCAGCTCGCCCATATACTGAGGAAACAATCAGAGGTAAAGAACTTTTGTCATGAGAAGTATGTATCACATGAAAAACATCGTGGTTCACGAATCAGCAATGAAAAGTTTATAATGAAGAAGAAGAGATCATATGACTCGTGAATATCCAATAAAGTTACAGACTTGCACAAATTTAAAGACTCAAAGATGATCAGATTCACACACATTACGACTCAGGTTCAGATTCAGGTTCTTTTCCATGGCGGAAATAACGGATTGATGGCTGAACCATTTTGTTTTGGGTCGTGGGTCGGGTCAATTCTTGTTCTCGATCTAAACGGTCATTTCAGCTGATGTTTTCACACAGATTCAATAGAACAGAATCTTACAAATCAAATATGAACAACAAACGCAGGGATGATTTAAACAAGTTTCACCACAGAAATTCGACGGGACAGAATCAAACAGATTGAACATGGAGAACAAATCCGAAATTATGACACAAGATAGTCTCAAATTTTTGAAAAGAACCTGGCAGAGATTGTAGGTGAAGCTGTCGTAATTATCGATGACGATAATGGGGCTGTTCTTCTTACTGGAATTGACGACAACGGAAGGCCTCGAGTTCGATTCCGCCATTTCAATCGAAGCTTTCGCGGCAACATCTCCACGCCTTTTTCCGAAAACCGAAACTCCTATTGTAAGAGAAACACCAACAGCAAAAAAAAAAAACCCAAATTATATATAAAAAACTCGATCGAATAACACTCGGGTATTGAAATCGAAACCCACTTGACGGGGTGGGAAGACGAAGGCGGAGAGGAGGGTTGAGTTGATTGGTGGTGGGGGACTTGGGTTTAAGGAGACAGGACTTGTACAACGTCGCCGCCATTGTCGGAACAAGAAGGAACGTTTTCTGATCCGAAAAACAGAGGGTTTTGGAGATGGAGAGGGAAGGGAGAGGGGGGTTTGATAGAGAGGGCTTAAACGCTGCGTTTTAAAAACATGAAACATGTGCCTAATTAGTAGGTGAATCTAATCAGTTTCAGTTAAAAATCCAACTTGGATTTTTCCAAAGAGGCTGCGGGAGAGAGAGAGAAGGACACGTGGTGCGGCTTTTAGGGTTTGGTCGAATGTGTCTTATATTCAAAGGTCTCAAAATGGATCCTATTAGTCGTCCAATCTATATTTTATCGAGTTGGATTTAATAAATTTGAGTTTGAAAAAAATGGATTGAATGAGTTAATTCATCATGAATCAAACTAATCGTGAATTAATTCTACGATTTTTTTATTTTTTTATTTTTAAGATATTTTTAAATCTTTTTATTATATTTAATATTTATTATTATAATCTCACTTCTTCTATCCAATTTTGAAACATTTAATGTATTATATATATATATGATTAATAAAAATTAAATTGTATCTTTCAATTAAATATTTGATTCGTGAATCGGTTTGTTTGATTCGTAATCTAAAAATATCAAATTTAGTCAAATATTTTTCGACTAGTTAAAAAACAGATCATGTTAGATATATTGGGTTCAAAAAATTGAAATGAAGATGGGATGGACCGGTTCAAGTTGGACCGATCCATTTTATACCTTCACTTATACTTCAATATATTGGAGTATCTTTTTGTAATAATTAAGGGAGAATAAGTTTTGAGATTCACCCTAGACGAAAAACTTTTCATAATATATTTAAAGTTTGTATTTATTATTTACCTTTAGAAAACTCTAAATCTAATTCAGGTTTATATGAAAAAGGTCATTTGTAATAGAGATGTTAGATTTTCTGTCATTCCGAACATACGATTCACAATCGTATAGGGATCCAAGTTCTAAGATTCATCCAATTAAAGGTAAAACAAAATTTTTTTCAACTCAATATAGGAGCGTGCATGTCATAGTTTTCGCAAAGAGAATACTAAATTGGAATCTCCGAGATTATTCGCCAAGTGATTCGAGGTTTGTTATTTCTTTGAATTTTGTTCACCACTATGTATTGAAATGTCTCAATACCCTCTTCAAGTATCCACACGCGGGATGAAATTCAACCTTTAGAACTTGCTTGGGGGACAATTGAGAATAGATTCTCTCCTAAAATTTTCTAAGAGGCTTGAGATTCTTTTCAAAACTTAAAAATCCAATTCTAAACTTGAAGAAAACGTGCCAAAAATCATAGGATACATTATCCTTTTATAGATTATTCAAAACCCTAATCAAAGTGGGAAAATATATTTTTTCAAAACTTGGTCAGGTCCGAACCGACCTAGGTCAAACATGCTTTCTATCCAATCTGACCCTGAAGCCCAGTTCGAGCCAAACCAAGCCCAAATTCAAGTCAGATCTGAACTAGCTAGTTCAAATCTGATCTTGATCGGCCCAGGTCCCTGAGAAAACCGAATTTTCCCTCTATCTGATTTTCACATGTATTCGTTTATTCCTATTGTATATAACCCTATAAGCTCATCCAACGTAACAACAAAATCCGAAATCCAATTTCGATTAACAATTCATAATTGGTCTCTAACAAGACGTTATAATTACTCATAATGGATAGAATTAGAGATGATATAAACCAAAGTCGAGAATAACTCAAACAATGATCCTTTTGTCACATGATATCATTTGTTGAACAAAAGGCATGGAACCAACCAGTGTGACACTCGTATCCCATTTCTCACGAACAGGATGCGCCAAATGAACAAAAATCTAATAAAATATCATAATAAAAATTACGAGAATTTTAAAACATTTTTACCACAAGTATACGCATCGGAAATTAAAAACATTGCAACCGTTTGTTTTAAAAACAATACACATCCGAAATAATATTTAAACACAACCATAAAAGTGTGGGGTCATTGTCCCAAATCCAAATCCAAATACAAAACCCGTACATGATGATGCTGTTGGTTTAGTGCTCTATGATGTACTGTTTATGAGCTTTATTTAGATACATTTGATGTATTGATACTTTCTATGGTTTATGAGAGTATTTGATTCATTACATGTTCTTGCATACTAGATGTGTTATGAAATCCATGTATTGTTATGAACAATACTAAACTCCCTAGTCTTGTGTCGTTATGGGAATAACGACATAATAAGACTAGTATGATGTGTGATTGATGATCATATAAATGTTCATAGGTATTGGATACGATCACAATCATAGGTATTCGTTGGAGAACGAAATACTGGATTGACCCGCATGAGATTGTCACATGGACTAGCGTCATGACTTGAATCTCATATGACGGTTCCATGATTTGATCCTAAGACCTGAGATATCTACGGAATCCAACATGAGGAGTTGCGTACTTTGATTACGTCAAACGTCCTGCGTAACAGGAGGACTATAAAGGCGTGTATCAGGTACGAAACGAATCATGTGCTGGATTGTAGATAGTCAAGACGGGATTTGTACCTCTCGTAAAAGAGAGAGATATCGCTGGGCCCCTCGTGTGAGCGAGACTGTAGAAATGTGTGGCCGCACTATAGACGAACGTCGTCTATTTCAGACAGTCGAACTCAATGAACGAGAAAGCAGTCGAATCAGATAAGGTGGCTTGTCCATGCCTTATATTCGACATATGATATCGTGATACAAAAGGATCGTCAAATGGAATCATCATTGGCGTTCGTAGGATCACGAACAAACTCTATTCGAGATAGGTAGTCATAGTGTCTTGCTAGAGACCGCCTATGACTTGTGTAACCGAAATAAAAGATTTCGGGTTATACTACTATATCAGATGAGCAAGAGACGAGAAAATTCCGGTGGAGCGGAGGCTAGACCGACCGGTCCAGAAGGGCTGGACTGATCGGTCCAGCTAACCCAGACCGATCGGTCTAGACGTAGACCGGTCGGTCCAGAGGTAACGTGTAGGTCAGGAAATTGTTCCAGACCGATCGGTCCAGACATTAAAAAGCTCCAGACCGATCGGTCCAGGTCTGGACCGATCGGTCCAGACGTCAGAATTTACTAAACTCGCTCTAATTAGGGTTTTAAGGGGAATTAACTTTGGGGAATGCCAACCAACTCTTTTGGCACGAATTTCAGACCCTAGGGAGAGGTTTGGAGAGTGAAAAAGCTAAGAGAAAGATCCTTGAAACCCTTGCGCAAGGAAGAACACGTTCTTCAGTCCTAGCAGACAAGTTCCAACCGTTGGAATCCTTTCCGCCGTGTGGATACGTGTAGAGGGCAAGGTATTCTTCCTGCCTACAGTGATCGGACGAACACATCAATTGATACAGGCCCCAGATCGATTGAGGTAAGCGTTCTAACGTTTCTACAAGATCATGCATGATAGGTTTTAGGGTTTCATCAAAATTTTTGTTTTTCATCCGCTGCGCAAACCCTAGATCCGATCTCTTAGGAATTAGATTCGCTTTTGAGATCCCAGGAAAACCCAACAGTGGTATCAGAGCCTGGTTGCTCTGCATGATTTTTGTTAGAACTCGATCACGCACGTTATAGGATTTGAATTGTTTGAATCTGTGTTTGCTTTGATGCTATGCATGATTTGATTATGGATCTAGAGTAGATTTCCTGTTCATTTTGCATAGTGTGCAAGAGCTTCGAATTCTGAGTTCGCAGGCGAAAACAGGGTCGAATTCGGGTCTGAAACGGGGCAGAAACGACGAAAACGAGATCTGATCACGTTTTCGCCTGGACCGATCGGTCTGGTCCTCTGGACCGATCGGTCTAGGGTTTCGCAAGTCGGTTGGACCGACAGGTCCGGACTGAACGGTCTGCGTGTGTAGACCGATCGGTCTGGACCAAGACCGATCGGTCTAGACCAATCCGGAGCGAACGGTCTGGACCGAACGTGACCCGAAGACCGAACGTGTAGACCGATCGGTCTAGGCCTAGACCGATCGGTCTAGGTCTCGACACTTCACCACAATTAGATTTTGCGTTTCGGGATCTGGTTTGAGCAATCGTTGCTTAAAACCGATCAACTGTGATTCAGAATAACATGATTCCTTCTTATGGATGGTCCATAGTGAATCAATGCATGTAACTTAATGAAGATATGTTTGATTGAGTGGGAGCTTCGGGATTGGGATTGCATAATCGA